ATGCGTATTCGTGGCATCTGTCCTGTGTTCAGCATCTCAGACATTACCTAAATGGCCTATTGTCAGATATACTGCAATACTATAAGAATCTTTGATTATAGTTATTAGACTTCATTATAGTAGGATTTTTTCAGATCAGAAGAAAAAATATCAAAACACTTTATAACGATCATATCAGATTGGTCCGTTTTTTCAATTTTTTCTATAGTTTGAAGTCACATTTATTCAACTAGAGGTTTTCAAAGTCTTGAACTTCAAGGAAAACTAGGATCAAAAGCAGAAAACGGGTTCTTAAATTCTTAAACTCATGGGAACGCGTCCAGGAGATTAGAAATCCAGCAAGCAGATACCTTTTAGGGGAAAGCAATGCATGTTCCAATCAATGTTTATGTTCAGCATAACACCTCAACTCACACTTATCCGATCAATGTGAATTGGCTTCATATTTGGATCGAATAGGAGTCGATCCGGAGGTATATCAATTGGTGACTGCATTTTTCCGTTGTGGCACATTGTCCATGGTTTGAACAAAAGTCCCCAATTCTGAGGCCCTGAATATTAATGAGATCTAATGACTTAAGATCCTCTTCAAAGAAACTAATGCTCAATCAAATTTTGTATTCAGATAATATCAACCATAAGTAGTCTAGTTTTATCGACTCACATAAACTGAGAATGTCTCCTTTCTTTCATATCTCGGCTACCGATTCATTCTAAGGGGCAACTAGTCTTATCCTTTTATTTGCTAAATTCGAAAGCCGCTTTTTGCGTATGCAGTTGAACGTATATTAGGTTAGTTGGTCCAGAAGTATTAGGGCTTTTTTAAAGTAATACATAATTAAATCTAAATTTACATTACCTTGCTTTTTTAAGGAACAGATCATATGCTTTACAATACTATTGAAGTTTATGAAGAAGTCGAACGTTTTCAGCTAATACAGTTGTTGAAGATATTCATTTGAAAACCAGATTTGTTTTGCATTGTAGCTAGACAAAATGCGCTGAAAGGTTTTCAACATCATTGAAAATCATCGGAAAATGCTAACTAATAGTGCACCCTAGCCGGCTCCGTCAGCTCTTTTAGATTAATTCCACAAAGATTGATCACCACTGGAACTGAAAAATTACCGAAGACTAGCATCTGCTACAGTTATGATGCCATAGTGACTGCGGAAGTAATTATAGATACATCTGCAAAATGGTAGTCAAGCTCAAACCCTTCCATATGAAAAGTATCGTTTTTGGCTGCCTTTGCGCGTAACGGTTGGCATTAGCAGCTAAGGTTTCGCGGAAAAAAATTTATAGAAGCGGAGAAAGAGAAGAGGAATTTGCTGTGTTTAACCAATACCTTAACGTTGCTCTTTTCAATCCCCCTTGCTTCGATCTAGATTATTCGTTAGATTATCAGACTATTCGTTAGTTTTTGAAGAAACTGAGCGTAGAAGGGCTAGCACTGATACCTCTGTCGGCACAGCTTTGGTCATCACTTTCAGACTACTAGACGATGCTATGACATTGCCTTGTCATTAACACTACCAATTTGAAAACATGTAGCCCCAATCCTTTTTCAAATTGTTATTTTCGTTACTTTCTCCTTCTTCTTGCTGCTGTATTGCGTGACAAGTCTATCAAAAAACTTTAGCCGTCTACATTCACGATGAAGCCAAGTTTATTATAATAAATTCATATATGCAATCAAATATTTGCGCACTTTTTTCAATAAACTCTTGCACATAAGACTTAGATAAAACAAATATTCGAAAACTCTGCCCTAACGAACAAGTGCCAACAGGTAGCATTTATTCTGGAATATCTGATGCTTAGAAAGTATAATGCAATCATCGCAAACACTTATTCGTCATCGCAACCTGCAGAGAAAGCAAATGTTTCGCTGTCCTCAATTGTTTGCTACGCGGCACTTATTTTTATCTTCTTTGCAGCTGCTTGAAAGTCATTAAGTATTGTGTTAATATTAGGCTGACAAAAAATAATTTCTGCCAATTTTTTCGCTGTGCAGAAAATTGGCTTTGAATTTCTCTTGGGTTTTTATTGAAGGGAGCATTCCGTGGAGCTTTTTAAAACAATTTCATAAATGTTCCTTTTGATGACTAATGGCTTATAGGAAGCAAATTAGAATGTCAGAAGCTTATAAAAAATGGGTCAAAGAGGTACCCAGCAGCAGTGTTTACGGTTAGCAACTTAATGTACTGGCATTCCAGAAATTTATAATTTGAGATGATGCAAAAAATGACTCCTGAGATTTACGAAAATTTTCATTGATCAGATTGCAGTGCGAGTTAGCTGAGAAGTTGATTTCATGCCGATGGACAATAAAAACTTGGTGCCAAACTTGGTAAAAAGTTGGTCTTCCTCAAATTTACATTCTTCCCTGCACCCTCTACTAGCGAAGAAAAAAAAAACTCGGAAGGCCAGAAGAATATTTTTCACCATGATCAGCTTTACTCGATGCGGCCATATTAAATCTTTGACATGTCTTCAACAGTGAAAAGAGAAGATTTGGACTTGTAACTGAAGTTTTTTTCAACTCAATGATATTCTACTAGTTTTGTATAATAAGACTTCACATGCCAAACCAAAATTATTTCTTAGGCGCCCTATATT